TCTCTGTCTCTGTCTCTGTCTCTCTCTCTCTCTCTCTCCCTCTCTCTTTCTCATTTGTTTTGTTTTGTCCTCTTTCTCGCACCGCCCTCGGTGCGGCCACAGTCAGGTCGAGGCCTGGCCGCGATCTCACAGCGCTACGTCATGGGGAGGCTGGGTGCCTCTCACACCCTGCCCGCCCGTCAGAGCGGCCAGCTCGCAAGCCGCGCCGCCAAGGCACTCATCGCTTCAGACGAGTAGCCTGACGGAGCCTGCCAGGACCACGTGGCGACGAGGACCCAAGGCAGGGCACCGACAGGAGCGAGCGCCATCCGAGACCCGCACGGGTCGCAGAAGCCACACACCCCACCCCCGCGTGGATGGCCCGACCCACCCATGAGCCCAGACCAGAGACCCCACACGCACTCTGGGAACCCCACAGGGGTTGCCAGAGTGCCCCCAGGACGGCCCTGAACACGGCCAAGACACCCGAGCCGCATCCAGGAGGGCCGACGGCGCTTCAGAGTGCCGCTCCAAAATGGCCAGACACTCAGGCGCAGGCTGGCAGCGAGCGGCTACTTGCAGCGCCTCCTGCCGCCAGAGGCCTTCATCGCAGCCTTCCGCTCCAGCTTGTTGAAAGCGTCCAAGGCACCACGGAGGTCGCCATCCCAGGCTGGGACTTCCGTCCCCACAGCTGCCAGCGCTTTTCTCGCGTTCGCAAACCATTCATCAGGTGTGCCAGGAAAGGCCTTGGGCACCGTGGCCACGGCTCTGCGCCGCCACGACAATCGAGCCCTCGCCTCCTTCCTGGCCTGGTCCTTGGGGGTCTGCCAGCACGGCTCCGCCGTGGGCCCCCCAGCCGCCGAAGCCCCCGCCTCCCCAGCCGCCGTCAGCAGGCCAGCCACGGCCCCCTCCGCCGCCAGCTGCGGTTGCGTCAGCTCGTCGGCGAACGGCCTCGGAGCCCAGGAGGGCACGCAAGTCGGCGGTGCGCTGCTTGGCCTGCCCCAGCTCCGCGCGCACCGCGTCAATTGCCGCCTGCGCCGCCGCCAACTCATTCTCGAGCTCCTCGATCTTGCCGTCGACTCCGTCGCCGACCCGCTCGCCGTCAGCATGGCTGGGCCATTCTGCGGCAGGCTCCGCGTCGAACTGCTCCTTCCGCGTCCGCGCGGCGAGCTCCGCGTCGATGCCCAAGGCCTTGCACAGCTGGTGCCGTTCCAGCTCCAGCCTTGTATACAGGCGCTCGGAGACGTCGGGATCATCCTCCAGGAGGAACTGCATGAAGTGCACCCTCGCCAGCTGCTCCTTGGTCCCGCACACAAGCGACGTCCTTGTCGGCCGAGCCGTCGAAGCCCCCCTCCACGTTGAGTTTCCCTTCGTGCGCGTCCTGGCCCGCGCCCGCCGCATCGCAATCGTCCTCCATGGGGGTGTCCACGACCGCAGCAGCGCAGTCCGCCACCACCAGGGCGCCCCCCTCCTCGCCGAGGCCCTCGAACTCCTTCCCGTCGAAGCTCTTCATGGCCTCCGCGCCCGCAGTGTCGAAGAAGCCGTCGCCTTTGGCGCTGTAGGGGGCCTGCCCGCCCTCCAGCCCCGTCTCGTCATGAGAACCTTTGGAGCCAGGGCTGTTGGCCACCCCGATGCCCTCGGCGTCGGACTTCTCCTCCGTCAGCGCCTCGGTGTCCAGCTCCTCCGAGCCGTTACCGAGACCCTGGTTGCTGCCGCCTTCGGCCTCCAGCTCCCCGAAGCCGTCCAGGTCGATGGATTGCACAGCCTCAGCGGGGCCATCCCGCCACGCAAGCACGTTCTGCAGGAAGCATTCCACGTCGCCGCCTGGGTGCCTGAGCAAAGCGCTGGCCGCATCCAGCTCGCGGCACCGCCGCTCGAGCGCCGGCGGGAGGCGCCGCCCGCGCGCCCGGAGCCCTCTGAGGCTCGCCGCTAGCGTGGGGCTCCCCAGGATGGCCACCATCTCGGCCGCCGCGCTCAGCAGCCTCTGCGCCCTCGCGCCCAGGGCGGGACGGGCCGCGCTGGTCGCCAGAGCCGCCTGCTGCGCCCCAGCGGCCGCCGCCTCCTGCTCCTTCACCGCCGCCGAGCTGGCCGCCGCCTGCAGGCGCAGCATGAGCTCGGCAGCCCCGCTCGCGGAAGCGACCGTGGCGAGAGAAGCCCCATGGCGAACGGACGGGCCGCGGCCTCCGCGCCCCATTCCCCGAGGAGGGAGCCGCGCGCGCCGAGGGCACGGCGCGCCCTGGCGCTCGCGAAAGCGCCCCGTGCAGGACTCAGCCCCCGCCGAACCCCTGAGCCAGAATGGCTACGGAAGTGTTTTTTGTCCTCTCTCTCTCTCTTCTTTTGTTTTCTTTTCCTCTCTCTCTCTCTCTCTCTCTCTCTCCCAGAAGCCCAGCAGAATCCATGAGAAAAAACAAGGTTTGCAATGTCAGGGGTGTGGGAGCCTTGCATTTTCATGTAGATGTTCGGGATATTTGGCATGAGGAGTGGGGAGGCCATGTGTTTCCCATTTGGATGCTTCGTATTTGTGGGATCTTCCCCCCTCCAGCGAAAATCCAACCCAGGAGCCCTCCCAGCAGCTCCGACCCCCAGAATGCCCCAGCCCAGATCCCCCACATGGCGTCCTCACGTCTCACGCCCGACATCCTAAAAATCCGAATGAAAACTCTGGGTTTGTGTTTTCCATGGGGGCTTGGGATTGATGGCGCGAGATGTGAGGAAACAATTCTTTGCATGCTTTTTTGTGTCTTTTGAATTTTGGGTGTTGTCCGCCCTCCAGCGAAAATCCAGTGCAGCCTCCCAGGAGCTCCGGTTCCCAGACTTCCAACTAAAACAATACAAATCAAACGGAAAACACATGATTTCACTTCCCCTCCAAGGAATCCTAAACATCCAACAGAAAGCACACGGTGCTCGCACCCCTGACATCGCAAACACAGTGTTTTCATTTGCATGTTTGGGATTTCTGGGATCAGAAGTGAGGACACCATGTGCTTTCATTTGGATGTTTTGGATTTGATGGATTTGCGGGATCAGAGCTTCTGGCAGGGCTTCTGTGTTGGATTTTCGCTGAAGGGAGGAGATCCCCCAACAAATATCCAAATGAAAGCACATGATGCTTTACTCATTCCTCATCCCAGATACCCCAAGCACCCAAGTCAAAATACAGGGCTTCCGTACCCCTGACACTGCAAACCCGGTGTTCTCACATCGATTGTGTCGGGTGTCTGGGGGGGAGAGAGAGAGAGAGAGAGAGAGAAAGAGAGAGAGAGAGAGGGAGAGAGAAAGAGGGGGAGAGACAGAGGCAGAGCGACAGAGAGAGAGAGAGACAGACAGGGAAAAAGAGAGAGAGGGGGGGGCAGATTCCAGATCCAGCTGATTGCAATTATATTCCTATTAGAGCAGAATTGGAATCTCTTTGGGGTGGAGCGGAACCCAGAGATTTCAATTAGATTACAGTTTGGATTGAGCGACCCCAGATGAGAAATGAGCAGGTCCCAGATACAGCTGATTTTGGAAGGGGATCTGGTCTGAATCGAGTTGGAATGGTGCAGCTTCCAGATCTAGTTGATTTTAATTGGACTCCTGATGAAATCTAATGTAGATCTAAGTAGAATCGAATCAAGCAAATCCCAGAGTCAGCTGGTTCCAACCATATTCCTATTGGGATCAAATGAGAATCTACTTGGGATGGAGCAGATCCCAGGTCCCGGTGACTCAAACCATGTTCCTGTAGGAATAGATTCAGACTCGTATTGAAATGGAGCAGGTCTTAAACAGATCATTACTTTATCCGTAGGGGCTTCGCCCCATGCCGCCGGTTCCTTGTCTCGGATAATGTGAGATGCAAAAGCTAAATCATGAGATCTGGGCGCCGCCGTGAAGCAGTGTCGGGACCTGTTTGTTTTTCGACCCTGACCCCGCTGATTTGCCTGAGTGGGGCCACCGAATTTCAGATATGTGACACATCCCCTTGCTTTTGGACCCTGGCCCCGCCGATTTGCATAAGGGGTGCCACCGAATTTCAGAAATGTGGCAAATCCCATGTGTTTTTGGACCCTGACCCCGTCGATCTGCGTGAGTGGTGCCACCGGATTTCACACATGTTGTAAATCCTTTGTGTTTTTGGACCCTGACCCCGCCGATCTGCGTGAGGGGTGCCAACGAGTTTTGCAAATGTGACACATCCTTTGTGTTTTTGGACCCTGACACCGCCGATCTGCGTGAGGGGTGCCACCGGATTTTAGGAATGTGGCAAATCCCATATGTGCGTTTTGGACCCTGACCCTACCGATCTGCGTGAGCGGTGCCACCGGAGTTCAGTAACGCGGCGCATCCCATGTGTTTTTGGACCCTGACCCCGCCGATCTGCGTGAGGGGTGCCACAAATGCGAGAAAAGTGGCAAATCCTTTTGTGTTTTTGGACCTTGTCCCCGCCGATTTGCGTGAAGGGTACAGCCGAATTTCAGAAATGTGGCACATCCTGTATGTTTTTGGGCCCTGACCTCGCCGATCTGCGTGAGGAGTGCCACCGGATTTCAGATATGTGGAAAATCCAATATTTTGTTTGACCCTGACCTCGCCGATCTGCGTGAAGGGGTGCAACTGAAGGTCCATCATGTGGCAATTCCCTTGTGTTTTTGGACCCTGACCCTGCGGATCTGCGTGAGGGGTGTGAATTGTTACCCCCCAGAAATTTTGATAACCCTCCCAGAGCGTGGTAGTTCTGCTGGTTTGGGCTCCCCCTTTCGCGCGTTCGCCAACAAGGAACAGTCAGCAGCAAGAAGCAGAACTGTAACATTGGAAACTGCGCACTCCTGGCCTACAGCCTGGTGGCCCTGCAAGGGGGCCGGCGGATTTTCTTTGGGGGGTGAATGCATTTTCATTGGTATTGGGCACATCCCAGGTCCAGCTCATTCCGAGTGGTATTCCGGTTTGGATCGACTTCGAATTTAAATGAAAGTGAGCAGACCACACGTCCAGTTGATTACAAGCATATTCCGAGTGAGTACAGACATCCGAGCAACATGCGAGAGATTGTGAAGCAGGCTGTCCGCAGCCATTGGCTTGTCAAAACATTCAGTCTAGGAACCATAGCATGGTAGTGCGGAGCGTGTTCCCTAGCCATGGATGAGGCCCTCAGGGCCATGGAGGCCAAGCTGGCAACAGCAGAGCAGCATATACTATAGAGAGACAGCGCCGAGAAGCGGCCCTGCAGGGCCAGCTGGCCGAGGCGAGAATCGTGATCGACAGACTCTCGGCTCAGACGACGGCGGTCCCACCAGATCCCCCAGGACCACCAGCTGCGGCGACTACGACGGGTCTGAACGGCAACTACCTGGTGGATGCGAGAGCCCTGGGCAATCCGCTGCCGTTCTCAGGAGAGGTGACGGGCGAGGGCAAGCCAGGGGGTGGGTCTTCATTCACGTTCAGAGTCTACGCGGGAACCGTCGACGCATCGTGCAGAGAGACTCTGGACTTCGCAGCTAGACGGACGGACGAGGACCAGCCCATCAGCAAAATCACGATCGAGCCCCATGAGAGGAGGCTCACGGCGCAGATCTTCTATGTGTTGGCGCTCCCCTGCCGAGGGGGCGAGCGCTGTCAGTGGTGCAGCGTGTGCCCGAGGGCTGGGGCATCGAGGCGTGGAGTCAGCTATGCATCGAGTTCGAGCCGAAGCTCCCGAGTCGCTTCCAGGGCATGCTGCATCACCTACTGGACCCTGCGCGTGGCCCAGACGCAGTCGAGAACATTCATGCGTGGGAGCGGAAGCTGACGCAGCACGAAGAGCAGTCGGGCGACACGATTGCCGACACAATCAAGCTGGCGACGCTCAACAGGAAGCTCCTGGAAGGCAGCCTGAGGACCCATCGCAAACTGCAGGCGGGGCGCCTGCAGACGTGCGAAGCGGCCAGGAACGAGGCGATCTCGCACGTACCTGCGCGCGACGGCCAGCCAGGAGCAGGAGCCCGCGCCCATGGACCTGAGCCCCGTGACAGGAGAGCTGTACCTTATCACGAGGTGCGGCAAGGGCAACGGCAAGGGCAAGGGCAAGACAGGCAACGGCAAGAACCACGACGGCAAGGGTAAAAACAAGAGGGTCTGCTTCTACTATGCCAGGCCGAACCACGCGAAGCAAGAGCGCAGGGTGTCGGCGACGGACCGCACGAACAATGACATCAAGCCGGACAAGGCAGGGCGATACATGGGCAAACCAGTCGACATGGTTATTGGCAAGCGTGCTGACACCGAGAAGGGAGACATGGCGGCGCTGTCGGATGGCGACCACTACGATGAGGCAGACGGGTACGTCTTCGCCCTGACCGACGAGGTGTTCGTGATGGGGGGCTGCTGCGCGCTCGAGGGCGACGACATCGACCTCTTCTTCGACGCGCGTGCGGCGGAGTGCGTCTGTCCGCCGACGCGGGCACCAGAGGTCGCTGTCGAGGGGTGCGGCGGCGTGGCGCTCGATCAGGCGGACGGCGACGAGGTCTCGCACTACGGCAGAAAGGAGGCGAGCATGATGGGCCAGAGCTCGGGCGAGCAGTTGACGGTGAAATTCGAGGCGAAAGGTGCGCGGAAGCCGATCATGGCAGCGAGCTCGGCGGTCGACGCGGGCTACAGAGCGCGGCTGAACGACGGGCGGGGGGGGGCTACGTCGCGAATCCCAAGCAAACGAGGGGGTTGGCGACGGTCGCGAGAGACAGCGTCGGCAAGAACAGGTCCTTCGAGCTGAGGCGGGAGAGCGGCATCTTCGTCGTCCCAGATCGGCGGCGCCCAAGGAGCGGCGAGCTGCGCGCGGCGACGGAGAAGGACGAAGAGCAGATGAAGCGCGCGAGGTGCAGCGACGCTGTCGAGGGCAGCGAGGGCGCCTGACCCGCGCTCACCCAAGCGCTTGCTCCTTGGCCGAGCGCGGAGGAGAGAGCTAGGCATGAGCTGACCCACTGCCTACGCCGCGCCTGGCGCAGGTGCTGCGTGGCGGGCCAGGCGACCGAGGGCCCCCGCGAGGGCCAGTCAAAGGGGTCGACGGCCGCGAAGCTCGCGCCGGGCTACTGCTTCCTGGCGCGCGAAGGGGAGCCGCAGAAGGTTACGGTTCTGGTCTTCGTGCCGAGGCCCCCCCTGGCGCCGGGGGGGCGACGCAGGTGGCGAAGAAGGGGGTCGACGACGTTGCGGTCGAGTTCGCGCTCTCCTATCCCGAGGCGCGGGGCGCTGGCGAGGCCGCGTCGAGGGCAGACCAGTAGCCTGCCGTCCAGGCGTTGCTTTTGGAGCTACGCCGGCGCCGAGTCGAGCACCATCGCGCAGCGATCGAGAAGTCCACGAAACACAGCGGCAAGGCGAACGGCAGCATCGAGGTGGTGGCGCGCAGGGCGGGGTCGCTCACTCGCACCTGCGTCGCCGTCATCGATGACAAGTACAAGACCGAGGCGACGAGCCTGCCGGTGACCCCCCCGTGGCTGGTCAGGCACCCGGTGTGCATCGTCGCCGGGTTCGTCTTGAAGAGCGATGGCCCGAGTGCCTGGGCGACGATGCGGGGGGCGGAGTGCACGTGGCCTCTCGCGGGCGCGGGCGAGGCGGCGTGCTTCAAGTTGATTCGCAAGGACCAGTCGAAGCTCGACCGCGCTGGAGTGTTCCTCGGACGGAGGGGCGAGAGCGATGAGGTCGTCGTGGGCGCAGCGCGTGGGATCGAGTTCGCCTGGTCATTCAAGAGACGCGATGTGAGCGAGCACTGCGTCCAGGGGCAGTTCTCGCCGCCCATCGGCGCGCCCTGGGACCCTAGAGCCCCGGCGACGGGGGCCCCAGTTGCGAGCGCAAGGCGGAGGTGCATCACTCGCGCCCTGATCGAGGAGCACGGCGAGAGCCCTGACTGCGCGGCCTGCCCGCGGCTGTCGAGCGCGCGCGCGATCGCGCGCAGGGCTCGCTTCGAGGAGATCTTCAGGAAGCAGGCCGATCAGCTGATCCAGACACAGCGGGCGAGCGGCGCAGGCAGTGCCGAAGTTCCGAACCCATGACCTCCAGGAGGCGACCCAGGGCCCCAGAGCCAACCAGGACAGCCACAGGCCATCGGCGCACCTCCAGGGCTGGAGTTGCCTACGGCCAGCGGTCCGAAGCGCGAAGGTGCTACAGTTTTCGACGGAGAGCCAGCAGGGAGGAGGCCAGTCATCGACGTGGCCCCCGCTGCGCGCATGGACACCGACCCAGAGGCGGAGGCCGTGCCCTCGGCGCGCTCTGCGGCTGGCGCTGGAGGGCGCGAAGCGCGAGCTCGACGCGATGGAGGAGTTCGAGGCGATGGCCTGGAAGAGGCGCAGAGAGAAGCCACCAGGGGAGAGGGTGATTTCCACCGAGCTCTTCCACGCGCGAAAGGGACCAGACTGCGCGCGATCACGCATCGTCGCACGAGACTCTGCAGGGGGCGTCTTCGCACCAGAACATTCTGCAGAGGCACCTCCGACGTGGGCGCTGAAGCTGGTGATCTCGAGGCTGGCATCGCGCGGAGAGTCGAGGCAGCTCGCGTCGCACGACGACTCGGTGGCATTCTTCCATGCGCAGCTGAAGGAGGCAGTCTAGGCCGAGCCGCCGGAGGAGCTGAACTGCCCAGACTGACTCTGGCTCGTGAGCAAGGCGCTTTACGGGGTGCGGGAGTCGAGCGCTGACCTCCAGGAGCTGGTGCGGGGCGCGTGCCGAGGGCGCGGCTGGGACATCCTGGCGACGGCGCCTTGCTTGGCGTGTCGCAGCGAGTGGGACTGCCTGGCGGGGTTCCACGGCGGCGACTTCTACGCCGAGGGCGAGCCGCAGCAGCTGGGCAAGGTCGACGCCATGATCACGGGGAGCTCCAAGGCCGAGATCCCCCCCCAGGGTTGGGCCAGCCGCCGAGGACAAGGGCATGGTCCTACGGCGGCTTCTACCGTGGAACCCGAACGGGTTCATCCTGCTGCTTGACCCGAAGCACTTCGAGAACCTGAGCACGCTGCTGGACCTGAGTGGCGCGCAGCCGCCCTCGACGCCTGTCAGTCGAGCGACGGGCAAGAACGCGCGAGACGCACTGGAGGAGCTGAAGCGGGCCGGGAAGGCGATCTACTGCAGGGGCACCGGTATATGCATGCACATCGGCCCAGACCGCTGCGACATCCAGTTCGCTGCGAAGCAGCTGGCATCAGACGCGGCGCATCCGACGTGCCTGAGTATGATGAGGTTGCGGAGGCTGGCGCGCTACCTGGCTGGGACGCACGACGTTGGCATCGAGTTCTTCTACCAGGCGCCCTGGAACGACATCGCGGCGCACTCCGACGGCGACTGGAGCGGCGACGTCCAGACATGCAAGAGCACGCTGGAGACCCCTGCGCTGGCCATCTCATCGAGGGCTGGAGCATCGCCCAGGGTACCGTCGCGCTCGGCAGCGCGGAGTCGGAGTTCTATGCGCTCGGCGTGGATGCGGCTCGCGGGATCACAGTCGAGCAGGTGATGGTCGGGATCGCTGAAGAGGGAGCTGGACTTCGAGCGGGCGCGAAGCTGATCATCCGCGCGGACTCAGACGCGGCCCGCGGCATGATCCATCGAGTGGGCTGCGGGCGGGCGCAACCCCATACAGGCGCGCCATTTCTGGCACCAACAGGCGCCGAGGGAGAAGCAGCTCGAGATCGAGCGAGTCGACGGCGAGAAGAAACTGAGTGATGCAGGGGCGAAGGCGCTCGACCAGGAGGTGCTGCAGGCCTGCGTGGTGAACCTCGGGGTCGCGGGTGGGGCCGCGGCAGGTTTCGGCGCGGGCGAGGCCGCCCAGGTCCTGGCCGCGCCGTGGCTGCGTGCGACGGCCCGGGCCGCCTGCGGATCGGACGTGGGCACCTGCGCGGCGGGTGCGAGCCAGACAGAGACCTGCGGCTTGACGATCAAAGTGTTTGTAGCGATCACCCTGATCGCCGCGGGCTTCATGGCGGGCGTGCTCTACGAGAAGCACGTGATGATGAGGGGGCGCCGCGAGGGGCGCCCCGCTTCAGCCCGCCTGCTTTCAGACCCAGGTGCACAGGCTGAGCCAACCCCCACCCGTCGCGAGGAGAAAGGGAGCCAGGCCCCTTGCATGTGCGCCAGGAATCGCACTCAGCCCCGTTTCGCTCCCCTGCCCGAGCACTCATGGGGATAGGTTTGCTCCCGCACGTAATGTTGAGTGAGAGGAGTTGCCGTGGGGCCGTTGGCCACAGCCCACTAGATGACATAGCTGCAGGCAGCCAGAGACACATCGACCGGTATAGCGCGTTTTGGGAAGCATGCTTTTACGTTTTCGGGCCCACAGCGGATCGGACTGATCACCCGACGATGCCCTGGGGCCCCTCCTGCTTCTCAGGGGGCAAGTTGCTAATGACAGCTTGCACCCTTGGGGTTCCGCGTTGAGGAGGCGCGCAGACATCCGAGCAACATGCGAAATATTTCGAAGCAGGTTGTCCGCAGCCATCGGCTTGTCAAGACATCCGGTCCAGGAGCCGTAGCAGTGATATGGAATTAGACTATTCGGAATTGAGCAGATCCCAGATCCAGCTTGTTTCGCTACTTTGTCCTTGTTTTTGTCATGTAAAAAACTACGTGAATGGAGCAGGTCCCACATAACGTTGCTTCCATTTTGATTAGTAATGGTACCGGGTTGAAGTCGGATTCGAACCGTGTAAGTCACAGACCCAGTTGTGCCCAGTTTGATTGATGGTGTGATCTATGTGAAATCTAACAGGATGTGGTCATATTCCAGATATACCGGGGATTCCAACATGATTCCCATTTGGACCCAATAAGAATCTAGTTGGAGCTGAACAGCTCCCAGGTCTAACTGTGTTAATGTTGTTTCGTATTGAAATCGAACTAGAATCTTTTTGAGATTTGGACATATCCCAAACCCAGCTGATTCCAATTAGATCCCAGAGAGGCAAACCAGCGGCGACATGACGAATAGCAAAGAAAGGTGGGCAGGCGCGGGTAGATAGAGGGCGCACGGCCCGTACAAGTACAAGTCGGGAGCTCAAGGACCGAAACACACTGAACAGGTGTTTCGGGGCGCAAGCATATATGTATGTGTGTATGTGTTCATGTATGTGTGCATGTGTGTATGTCAGTATGTATATATGTATGCTTGTATGTAGTGATGCGTGGGTTTGTATGCATGCATTCGTGTATGTATGCGTGGAGGTGTAAATCATGTATGAACGTATGTATGTGTGCAGGTGTGCATATACATGTAGGTGTATCTGTAGGTATGTATGTTTGATTGCATGTATGTATGCTTTGATGTATGGGTGCACAGATATATGGTGTATGGGTTCATGCGTAAATATATAGAGATGTGTATGTACATGGGTACACACATTCATGTGTATGTGTATTATGTATGCATGGATGCATGGATGTGTATGTATGTACGTGTGTGTGTCTGTATGTATGACTGCATTCATGTATGTATGCAGCTATGCATGCATGCATGCATGTTTATGTATATATATAAATAAATGTGTGTGCGTATGTATGTGACTTTGCATGCTGGCATGTGGTTATGTTTACTTGGATGGATGTATGTTTGCACCTGCACATGTACGTATGTACATATGTCATGCGTGCACGCATGTATACGCCATGGATGCATACCTCATGCATGCATGACGTACGTACGTACGTGCGTGCGTCATGCACGTATACATGCGCACGTCGCCATGCACGTATGTATGTGCATATGTATATGTAGACTCTTACGTGTGTGCGTGTGTGTGCATGTGTTGATGCATGCATGCGCGTCTGTATGTACGTAAGCAGTTCCGTATGTACGTATGCATGTGCGTGCATCTATGTGGCTATGTATACGAGCATGTATGTGTGTCTGAATGCGTGTGTACATGTGTGCATGCACGGGTGCCTGCGGTTACGCGTGTAATTCTGGTTGATCATACACATAAACACAGATTTGTATGCATATATATATATAGATATATGCATGCGTGCGTGTATGCACGCAGGTAGGTATGCATGCATATGTGTGTACGCATGAATGCGTGTGGACGCGTAATTATGTGTACGTTCATGCTTGTATACAGGTATGGTTATATATGTATATATGTGTGTGTGTGCATACAGACATGCATGTAAGTATGCTTGCATATTGTCGCATATATGTAGATATGTTTAGATGTGTGTATGCTTGTTTGTCTGTTTGTATACATGACGTATGTATGTATGCATGTATGCATGCATGCATGTTGGTTTTGATGAATTCTCCAAATAGGCTTGCCCGATACGAGTCCTAGGTCAAACACTCCTAATTGGTCCGTTGCCTCCCCTTCCGATTTCTATGCCTCCCCCAATTCATATGGCTTTGCCTATGCTTATGTCTATGCCTCCTCTCTAACTCCTAAAGCTGCGCCTATGCCAATGCATGCTTGCCTGCTTGCACGCTTGCACGCTTGCTTGCTTTCGGAGTCGCGGATTCCCAGCATGCTGGATTCCTTGGATTCCTTGATGTGCGTGGGCGAAAATAGTTGGAGTCAATGCTGGTTGACATGTAT